CATATATTAAGGGAAATGAAATTTTTCATTTGTGATGAAGCTATTCAGTAGCAGTAGTGATAATTAACTAAACATAAGAGACTACAAGCAGGAAATCGTTGTCACTGAGCCCTTCTAAGCTTTCACAGAATTGTTTTGTGTTCTGTTGCGAGACAAACTGCAGCTCTGATCTGATCTTCACCAAGCTCTGTTACATTTAGCAGAAGTAAGATGGACAGAAGCACAGTCAGTAGGTCTATAAAGTTCTTGTTTCAAACATATCAGAATCCACCAAAGCTAAATTTACAGAACATCTACTGTCAAAGTAATTTAAAGACTCAAGGTAGCAAGCTGTACCATGGAATAGCTGTTGCACCTATATGTTATGAATTTGACACCTTTCAAAAGAGAGATATTATATGTTTCAAATAACATAAATGTATGAATGGACCAGCTGGGCTGAGTCAGATGAGCCATCCTGAGACAACAAATGCACCATTGCTTCCTGAAATGCTATCCACAAACCCAACCTCTGGTTAAAAGCAAAAGTTTAAAAATGCTGTAAAATCTGCATTCAGATTTTAAAAGCCTTGCAAGAAAATTAACTACAGTTAGAGAGAAAATACATTAGGCAATAGTTTATGGAACAAGAATATAAGTAACTTTCACCGCCTAGTTGACTGCATTGAAAACAGAAGTCAGTTTGCTCTGAATATACAAGCACTTCATAAGCAGTCCTCATTGCTGCCTTGCATAGGACCCTTGATACGCAATCCTCTTATGCCACACCATGTACTGTTCCTAACATTTCAGACCTTTTATAATGAAATACGAGCACGAGAAAGATTAGAGACCTGAGAGAGCAATGTTGAAGTGACTGGGATGAGAGAGGAAACAGTGCAAATATCCACTTCCCATTCTGCCTTCTCCTTTCCTTTAAATTCTGTCACTATTGATTAGGTAGAGATCTGAAAAATGAAGTAGTGTAGGAAGAATAAAATGACAGTGAAAATGGTAGGCTTGTCACAATTGTGCAGTGTTTACTAACAGAAAGAAGTTGTTAGTCCTTTCTTACTTTTAACTTGGGAACAAAACCTCCCACTGTCTGTTTCTTCAGAAGTAGGAAATTGCAAGTTGGACAATGCAGCTGGAGAAGGGAAAGGAAAAAGCCAAAAAGAGCCTCTTCCTGCAGCAGTGAGCTCTCAGACGGCTCAGTCAGTCCTGCTCTGAAATGTCACTCCTAGGCAAGTTTAAATTGATGGCAAAACCACAGCCTTAAGAGAGTGACGCATACGTAGCTCTTGCTTCAGAGTCTCCTCTTCCCCACAAATGCCATAACTCAATTCAGATTATGCCACCCTGAGCAGCAGATTGCTTTGCACCACTCAGATTTCTCCATGCTAAGGCTACAGTCTCATGCCTGTACCAGACATGTTCACACTACAGATCAGATACAGGTCAGATATCCAGCTTCCATCGAAGCCAGAACCCACACAACTGCTCAGGTGGCAGGAGGAAAAGGTAGAACAGAAACAGGTATGCACTATAAAGCCTTTGTACAGGACTCCCTTTGTTGTTTAAGAAGTTGTGACCACTTATCAGGAGGCCATTTTGAACCATCTTGCCATGACATTCTTCCTCCCAGTACTAAGCAGCCCCAAACTGTATTTAGCATCCTCTGTAGCCACAATGTCAGCTGTAGATAAGACTCCAGTACTATGCCCTCTATTGAAAAAGATTTTCAAAACTCCCATTCAATGCACTTGCTTGACTTGTCTCCAGAACTTCTCTCCACCCTCACAATGCTGTACTGCACAGTGGTCACACCAAGAGGCACTAATGCCACAGGAAGAGAAGTGTCTCATGCACCAGGACAGCCTGACACAGCCTTGCTTTCACCAGCCTGGTCTTTCTTCCTGGTCTTGTACTGCCTCCTACTGACGCTGCTTTTTGTACAGTAACGCTGTAAGACAATCTAGCTGAAAAAAATGGGGAAAATAAGAATATTTTCAGTGCATCTTAGCTAATTGGGCCCCTGACTTGACTACACAGTGCAGAGGTGCCCCAGGGCAGCAGTGAGTTACCAGAAAAGCCCAGGAACTGAACCATCAGTGCTGCCAGTTGTTTTGGGCATCTGAAATAATTCACTTTAAAAATCAAGTCCTACACACTAGGTCAAAAAGGGCAGACCTTGTCATCTTCATAAGAAACTGCCAACAATCTGCAGGACATTTAGCAATTTGCTAATGCAATTTTTATACTGTATGATTATGTGCACATCTTACGCACATAAACATTTCAATAAAATGACAGAATTTAATTCTTTCAGTGCTGGCTTTTCTGCCAGCATGTAGCTCAAAAGTACCTGCATTATTTCCTCTGCTTTCTGTATGTAGGTCCAGGAAACACAGCTACCACAGCACTTTGCAGGTAGGTGGAAGAAAGCTGCAACTAAGCAGTTTCATAATAACACAATTACAGAATTAAAAAACCCCAACCACCACAACAGTGCCATTTAATTTATACACTTTTAGACTTCCATCAGTTTGTTTAATCAACTACAACCTTTTTTCCCTCAATCCCAACCTAAAGAACATTTTTTACATAAAGACCAATGAATTGTGATATTAGAATGCTGTTTAGAAGCAAATCAGTTACTCCCTTGAAAATCCCTCTGTGGACTCTTAAGATATGTATTTCAGTCAAAATCGATTATGTTTAAATTCATTTCTATTGTAAGGAAACATGACTTTTTCCATCAACTCAAACAGAAACATGTTTCAGATTCAGCAGTATCAATCAAATACTCAAAGGCAACTAAATAATTTGGTATTTCCATTCAAAAATTGTTGGTAAAAACAAATTCCAAACACAAAATTACAGTATCCATATATAGTATGCTCAAATCCCATAAAGCAGAATTTGCCTGCTGTATCCTCAGCCTCTAGTGTTACATCCATGCAGTATGTTTAGCCAGGTTCCTGCTGTCTGTCTACAAGTAAGCTTTTAGCCTGGATTACAGATCCCACCCAAACAGCTCCCAAAAATGTTTCCCAGCCCACAGAGAGCTCTGCCTCACCCAAGTGAGATATGACATTATACACAATACACTGGTACTAGAATAAGAGCTATATTCCTATAAAGACAGCAGTTTATTCCTTCTTTATCCTCCATTTCACTTCAAAAATAAAACAGGATGTCTTAACATATCTGTAGTTTCAGAGAACGTTTGACTTTACCCTGGACACCATGAAGGAAATACCTCACACAGTCAGTATTGTTACAGGAAGGAAGCAACTTTTAAATAAAACATCAGTGCAGCGTCTGCCGTCTTTCACTTCGTCTTTCACGAGATTCAAATTCTTATCTGGTCACAAAAGCAGTTGACTAATAAATCTATACAATAAAGCTCAGGGCTAGGTCATAAAAGCACAAATAAGCAAGACTATTCAGTTATGAGGGTTAATTTTCTCTTTATAGAGGAAGCAGCAGAGGCAGAAGTGAAACAGCTCTGGAGAGAGGACAGTATAAGGCAAGTGCAGCAGTGGCAGGCTCAGTGAAGATGAGGCAGATGATGCCTATGCACCTAAAGAAAAAACTGACTGAAGTTGTACATTTAAACAGGGGGACTTTGACAGTTTAATCATCTCCACTTGGGAAAAACAGCTTGCTTTCCCACTGGGAGCTGCTTGAAAGGCATCTGACCTCTATAGAAAAAAACAATTGTTTTTTTCACACTTAAGCCTGAGAAGTTTCCCATCTCAATTCTCCAAATCATGTTTTAAGCAAAATAAAGCCTACATCATTACAGTAGTAAATAAATACAATCTGACTTCTCATTCCATTCTTGGTCAAACACATTCATGAACACTTTCTTCCACATGAATCCATTTTAAAGTAGCTCTAATCTACATGCTAATATTTAGGTAAGTTTGATACCAAAATCTAGATCCATTTATCTAGTACGACTAAAAAAATTGACAGCAGTAGCAGCTGTTATCAACTAGCAGGGCTTTTATCAACTTAATGGAAATATTTTTAAAGTACAATTATTAAGGGCATATAATTTGGTAATATGCGACCTAGATACCATACTAAATCATTAACTGACAATTTATGTGAAAACAGAAGATACACTGGTTTTCCTTTTAACATCACTGTAGTTTTTTATGTAGCTTTCTCCTAACGTTAACACAAAACACACTATATTTTTCCAGAAAAACTTAATTTTCCATAACACTGAGTTCTTCTTACTACATTTTAGCATACTACACCTAGTGTAATTATAAGAATAGATCTTCTTTCCTATGCCCAAGTTATCACAATGGATATAAACCACAATTTGTGGATAATTACAGAATGTGGATCTCATCTTGCATGAAACTGCACGAAGACTATGCCCTGTACCCATGCCTGGTACTTGCAAAGGCACATCCTGCAGGATGGATACTGTAATTATTTCCATCCTTGAAATGAGAAACATTTTAAAAACACAAGCTTTCAGGGCAACTAACTTTTGCATCTGTCACCACGTGTTACTGCCAAGTAATATGCACCCAAATGCATAATCACATAAATGGTATCTGTTACACAATCATGCAGTATTTTATCCTGTAAAAAACAATGTAAAGCAGGATAGATAAGTACCATTTTAAGAGGAATAAAAGGCTACTGAAAATACATATGGAAAGGAAAATTCTCATCGACTTTACTAAAACTTGAAAAAGATCTTAAATAAAGCTATTTTATTTCCATTCTGTGCATCTGTGTACTCTCATTTTAATAATAAAAGAATCGATTGTACTTTCACTTATTTAGTTCCTACAATATTTCTGTTGCAGACAGCAATGAAATATTTTGTTATTTTCTTTGTGAACTTATGTCAGACTGACGCTTTCTCATTTTACTTGCAGAATTTTCATGAGGCCCTGGTGTTGTTTCAGTACAAAAATTTTGGAGTTACATATGAAGATATATTTTTGTTAATTATCAGACGTTAAAAGCAACACAAGTCAGTCCAATGAATTTTACAGAAGGATTTAAAGGATACAGCATGTTTACAGAATCCTTTGGTTATATTTACTAAAAGACAAGGTACACTGACAAAGACCACAGTACAAAAACATTTGGTTTAATTACTTTTAGGATTTCCTTTACTGTTTTTGGTATTCATAATAAAAGATGAAGACCCTCACCCGCCAAGAAAACAGATACCCACAGGCAACAATTAATCTATTCAAAGGCACTCAGCTTGCTTTTTAAGTTTGGCAGACAGACACCACACTGCTATTTCTGTCACCATTTGATGGCTAAATAGCCTCTTCAAAAATTCATTCGACACAGTAAATTATACTCAGTGACCAAGCACAAAATCTCATGAGCTTATATAGGAAATTTATTTTGTTAAATAAAATATTCATGATCTTACAAAACTGATTTTACCAGACGAGGCCTTTGGCCAATTTTGATTTTTTTTTCCCTTTAACACGCTGAGCCTTAAGCTTCTTTCTTTGTCTGGAATTCATCCATATTGGGTACTGTCCATGCTGGTCTAGGAGAGTTTTTTTGTTTCGTTTATTATCCAGCTCCATTTTGCAGTCATCTGAAAATTAAAGGTATTTTTAGTGAATAAAATGTCTGAATCAGCTTCATAGAAGCTATTTTGTTACTAGATTCCCCAAAGTCATAAAAATATCCCTAGACACAAGAGTATTTGTATATAGAGAACTGAAGGTTTTATAAAATGAAAGCACTTTCCAAACCAATGCAAGTGCAACCTAGGAACTTCAACAGTTGATAGTAAACGTGCAGTATTTTTCCTGAAAACCATGTCTGGACAAAGTATCTTATTCCTTAGTCTGCAATCTGTTCCAATCCTGTGTCTAAGAATATTGTACATTCCATCACATGCATGAAGCCATATGCTTACTGAAACATGCACAATTACACACTTTTTATGATGTAATGTTTAAGATCTGCTCTAAAAATATATTCTGAGTGGAAGATGAAGCTGAATAAAAGGAATAGTAAAGAGAAACGGTGAAACACAGCGACAGTAGGAAGTATCAGCCAGTGATGCCACGCTTGCCTCTAGGAGTGAGGTCTAACACATCTACAGGCAGAAAGAGAGGATTAATCTCTAGGATGAGGATGACTGCCCACTGTCACTCCCAAGAATGGCATCCCCAGCTGCCGAACACCCCATGAACATCATGTCTTGGTGAGATAACAAGGTGCAAGAGGAACACCTTGCAAAGTACTGACTGGAACTGTGCTCTGGAATTTCATCCCAACCTTGTTCCTAAATTATATGTGTGCAACTCAAGCCTTTACCACAAGTTTTATGGAGAGGAAAAAAGACTTCTATGTTGTGCTTGTCTGATGTTGGGAGACAAAGCTCACGAGGAAAAGGCCAACTTGCTGCTTCAATAGTTGAGGCTGACTGTCTACAGGAATCTGCACCAGAGATGTGCTTATGGAGCCCAAAATTGAGGGGCTTGCAAATACTTGAAATCAGCAGAGAATCAGCACAGGGGCCTGGTGGCAGAGCCAAAAAGCCTATTCTGCACAGCAGACCTTACATTATTTTTTTCTTAAAAGGAAAAATTGAAAAAAAACATTCCCAGTACACTGTAAACAGTGCCCTAAAGTAACACAGTAAGATGTCTGTAATATATACCTATATACCTTCTTTGGCTGGAAAATTATTTATCTGTCTGCGGGAAGTTACACATTATTATGGGTGAAGTTTTTATCTACTTCAGTTCTTGTAACACTTGGTGATGTGAACTCCTTTGTGTCCACAGTTAGTCCTGAAAAGTCCTCTTAAAGAAGACACCATTATTTTCACAATACTTGTAGCTGTTCTGTGAAATATGTATTTTCTTAGGTATTTCTGAGGCTTTTACACTTTTACACTTGGTTTGTGAGATAAATCAGAATCATGGATAAAATTACAAGCAATACTTGAAACTACCCTTAATTGGACAATTACTTTTATATAGCATTCTGTTTCCATTTACAGTATCAGAATATCTTAAGTGGCACAAATTGGAGAATCAAAATAAGACTGTGATTTAGTTTGGATGTCAGTTTTGGAAAGAGAAGGTGTCTTTCTGACTCATATCCATTATGCAGCTATTTAAAACCTCTCTTTCCACTTCCTGGGTTACTTCCTTTACAGTTTACATTAGATTCCAGACACAAGGAAGATGGCATTATCTGTAGACACCTGACACCACCCGCTCCTGCACCACGTGCAATGCAACGTGTTGGTGTTCAGAAACCGGGCCCGTACTACTCCTACTCCAACTCCTGTGTGTTTAGGAGCCTCTTCAGATTAGGAGAGTTTGGCAGCAAACATAATGCTGTGGCTGGAACAACAGCTAAGTGGTGAATCCGCATTCACCTGATGCTGTCAGAGATGTCTCTCCCTACGATACATCACACACTTTACGTGCTAAAACTAAACGTCAATAACCTCGTTCCACAAGTGACCGGATGCAATATGGATGCCAGTGTTGCGAAATGACCAGATTTAGGGTTTTAGCTTTAGAAAAACAAGCCCTCCGACTCACTGTTCTCAGCCTGTAACAACCACACGCCCGATCCCGGCGGTGAAAGTCACAGGCTCAGTAAGAACACTGCAGGGCCGCCCGCACCTGGGCGACGGCAGCAGGAAACGCCAGCCAGAGCCCGACTCACCTCTCTGCTCCAGCACTTTCTCGGGGGGCAGCACGGTTGCCACCTCCTTCACCTCCTCCATGATGACATCCGCTTTGGTTCCCAGGATCTTCTTCAGCCTCTCCAGCTCCTTGGGCGCGTTCTTCTTCCTCTTCTCCGCCCGCATCTTCCTCCTCCATTTGCTCCTCAGGCTCTTCGCCATGTCCTGCGGGGGG